CAACCCAAAACAAAACAAACAAACAAACAAACAAACAAAAAAGAAAGCTGATGAGATCCGGCATGTTACAGGGGTGTCCCTGAATGGAGTCCTAGGTCATTTCATGAAGCTATGAAGTTGAAGCCTGAATGGCCTTGGAGATCTCGAAATATTGTAAACTCCAGAACTGTCGCATACCTGCTGAGAAAAGCTACAAACAGGTACTAGAAACAGTGCAAGAGAGAGAAGTACTTTGCAGTCAATAAAGCTGAAAGAAATTGAAGATTTTAACATCAGACATGGAGATAAAAGGTCTGAAGTTTGCCCAGATGGTTTTTGGTCTTTGGTCCAGTATTTCCTCACTGTATTCTGTTTGAGACTGCTAAACACTATGTGGACTTTTAAAGTTGAACTGAATGAATTTTTGTATTATGATATGGCTGTAAGCCTTTGGAGTCCAGGCAGTAGAATGTGGTGGTTTGAAATAAAATGGTCCTGAAAAGGAGAGATACTAATAAGAGGTGTGGCCTTGTTGGAAGAAGTATGTCACTGTGGGAGTGGGCTTTGAGGGTTTGTATATGCTCTAGTCACACACAGTGAGAGAGAACACTTCCTTTTGCCTTCAAATCAAGATGTAGGACACTTGGCTACTTCTCCAGTACCATGTATGCCTACACGCCACCATGTTCCACCATGATGATAATGGACTAAACCTCTGAAAATGTAATCTACCCAATTAAATGTTTTTCCTTGATAAGAGTTGCCATGTTCATGGTGTCTCTTTACAGCAAAAGAAATCCTAACTAATGCAGACTCTAAATCAATAACCATTCTCCTTGTAAGATGGAGACTTATACCATAAAGTTTAAAATCTTGACCCCAAGTAGAACAAGCTGGCAGTTATTAGATGTTGCAAGAGACAGGGAACCAAATTTCATGTGCTGCAACTTCCAGATAGCTTTGGCCACAGAGTGGAAGCCCAATGACACTCATTGCAGAGTTCTAATCTTCACAACTGTGGGGCAATGACTTTCTCTGGTTTGAAGCTGCCAGTTGAGTCACAGAACTCTGAGTTACCTCTGGGTAGCTTTAGCTTAAAAGACAACACTGTGCTTTACCTCTTATGAAGATGAATCCTAGGACGTGAGCTTTCAGGCATGGTCCACTGTCTGCCTCCTGTGCCTTGCAGGCTGGCCTGTGCTTATTTTCCTCTATGTCTTCATTCCTCTTTCTCCGTGAAGACTGAAGTTCTTTATATTTCAGAATGACCTGACAGCATGATCTGTCATATATGAATCTGGCAGGTTTAATAACTGAATCCAAGTGGCCTCCTCTCTTGATGAATTTATGCCAACCCACAAGAGTGGAGAGTGGGTGGGCCAGTCTCCAGCCTTGCACATCGCATGTCATTGTTTTCTCTTTAATGGTTGCTAGGAAGGGTTCCTAGAACACACCTGAGTAGAAAATTCCACTGAGGGTATATGGAAATGTTTCTTGTTTAAGAGTAGGTAGCTTTGGGTCAAGACTTCTCCAAAGTGATTACTAGTTAAAAATAGGCTCACTGAATATTAGACTTCTCAATGCTTGTGAATATTGTTGTAACAAAGAGGATGCTTTTTAATAAAAATGAAAGATATAAATTAGAAATTCCTTGGGTATGTTTCACATGTCTGAAATTTTCTGAGTCAAAGTTTACAAAATACTAACTTCCTGATTTTTTTATTGAATATCAAATTAACCATATAACCTTCCTCTTATAAAACTTAAAAGAATGTGTTTGAAGTTCTATTTTTCTGTTTATTATGTCATTATCATTCACCTAATGAGTACTCATCCACTGATAAATGGAAAAATGGAAGCAGACTTCCTCCCTTCTGAATTGTGCTTGCATTGGTACAATGTCACTTTTCTTTGTGAGTGTTCAGTAAGGAACACACTTCTGTTTAGCCTCTACTTGTGCTCTCTCTCCCTCCCTCCATCCCTCCCTCTCGCTTTCTCTCTCTCTCCATGTGTGAGTGGGTGGTAAGGAGAGACAGAGAAAGGAGAGGAAAGAGACAGAAAGACACTTACAGATTACTAGCCAGTTGTAAAATTCAGTTATTTGTGACAATTGCAGTGCTTTGCACCACATCTGCCCCATTCCTTTCCTTTGTCCTCTATTTCTGCCATTTTTAGCTTAAATAGACCTTTCAAATAAAGGATGAACATCATCAGTCTGGCCTTAGAGATCTCCAAAGGCTACAGAACCAGACAATACCTATCTCATAATAGAAGGGAAGTGACTATTTCTAATCTCTTTGACACATATACTTTCTTTTATAAAATTAATGTAGTATACATAAATGATATAAATTAATGAGTGATATGACAACTTCATATATAGGTAATTTATTTAGATTATCACTATCTGCATTGTGTCTTGTTCATCTTATTGTTCCTTTCAAGCAGCTCCTTTCCTTTTCTGAAAAGTGCTCCCCTTCTACTGTATTTATCTTCTCTCACCTTTGAAAGAAAGTCCCATTCTGTAGTTTGGGTTTGTCTGCAATTCACTGTGTACTGTTCCATCGAAGCTGACTTCATACACATAGCAATTCTCCTACCTGTGCCTTATGAATGATGGGGTGATTGATTTAAGCCACCATGACTGACTTACGCTCTCACTTATGTGAAAGGATTCAGTGGTAGGTTTTTTTTTTTACTGTAAATTAAAGACCAGAAATGTCGAACACATAGCTTAAATCACAGAAATGAACTTAATTGGCTCTTATACCTTCTGCTTCCAGGCAGAAAAAGGAAATGAAAAAGAAATAAAATAACAAGAATAATAGCAACATAGAGTCTATCTCAGCAGAGTTTCAAGGAACACTACTCTGAGGGTGACAGTATACAAATGAAGTACATGTGCCAGTTTCTGGTGATAGTAGTAAACATCTCCAATGTGGGATAGGAGAACTGGACAAAAGAGGCATCTAGAGCTTTCTGATCTCACTGAGGTCAATTTTCTTCTTGATCCAGAAGTGAATCAATTATGCCTTTTTTTGGTGACAATGTTATTCTACCTGCCAGTGCCACAATGAGTCAGAAATACTATAAAGACTTCTTGCCATATATTGCCCACAGTGATGAATCTATCTACTGTCTGGAAGCAGGGTCCCTGGAAGTGAGCATTGTAGTCTACAAAGAAAAGTGGCCCCTTTTCTTTAACTCTATCTCTTCTTTCGGACTCAAACACTATCTTCCTTCTTCAGAATCCACCCTTTTTTAATGTTTGAAGCTGTCTCTCCAGCCTCCACTTAGTAGAAAGGGTAACGATAGATGAATCTCTTACTCTTCTCTTTCCTTTTCACTGTTTCCACTCCTACTCTGCTTTAGAGTTGTTGATAGTCTCTGTCACACATCCAATTATCTAATGATTTTGTTTTTTATTATTTTTTGTTTGCTTCTGTCCTTTTCTAGTTACGCAAAAGGCTCAGAATGCAACAGTCCTTCTCTTTCATGACCTTTGGTGAGTGTAGATGGAAAGAATGGAAATTGTTTGAGTGAAGTTAGGAAGCACAGAAAAAAAGAGGAAATCACCAAACTGCAAAAGAAAACCTTGAAAATGGGAAGACAAAAGGGAAGATTTTATGACCTTAGTGCAAGTTATTTCATAAATGGAATGTAGAGAGCAGAAATAATATTGTCAACTTGAAATTCATCAAAAATGGGATATTTTGGGAAGGCATGGATAGTGATCATGCTTTTTTTGTCTTGTGGGCTTTTCAGTCTTTATTCTAACTCTTCACCTCCCCCCATCATCATTGTAGTTATAATAGAAGCCATGGAAATTATGTAATAAATGCCTGTGATTCAATAAATCTTTATTTGTAAAACAAAGAATTCAAAGTTTAGCCATGGCATTGTGTACTAGTGGGACAGAACTTCTAGCATGAGATTTATCAGAACTAATGATTTCTCCAAAACAGTAATGTCACATCATTGCAGAAGCAGGATCGAGTCTCAGGAGAAACCCAATGTCTTTTGCTTTACCACATCATTCCTTCCATTGCTAAAATGGACATCAAGACTGTTTTCATAATTTGTTTGTTATTATTTTATGTGTATTAATATTTTGCTTGCATGTATGGCTGTGCACCATGTGCATGCCGGGTATCTGCAGAGGTCAGAAGCAAGTGTTGATCCTTGGGACCAGATGTGAGCAACCATGTGGGAGCTGAAAATTGGTCCTGTCCCCTTTTCAAGATCACAAAATCTTAAGTGTTGTTCCATCTCTACAGCCATGTTTTAAGAATATAATCATACAGATTTGGAATTATATTTAAGATATCACATTCCACTTTAATGTATTTTACTTAGTCTTTTCTCTTGGTGGTATGAAGAAATTAAAGTTAATGATTCTGCATTCATTTCCTGTACATGTTGTTTAAAACATCCTTTCTGCCACATCATTCATAAGATGATATGAAAAGTTACTTTGTGTTTATGTGACATTTTATTTGTCCATTAACAAACAGAATCATGGCAGTTATTCATTTGTAGTTTTACATGATTATTGAGAAAACCACCAGTCTAAGTTATTACACAAAGCAGAACATGGCAGGTATGTTATAGAGGATCTTCCCATATAAATACAAGATTAGAAAGAAAAAAGTAAGAAAAGAGAATTAACCAGACTTCACTTAATGTTGCCTTTCTTATTTGATTTTTGATATCAGAAATTTTAGTGGGAGGCTGCTTGTTGGTTGCTGGCCACCTGGCTATCATAGACCAAAAATAATCACACAGAAACTGTATTAATTAAATCAGGAATATATTTCATTGTATGGACTGTTAAGCTAAACTAACATATATATTTTAAAAGTATCTTGCCTTCAAAATTTGTGTCTAAGGATGTGTTGCTTTGGAAAAGAGGTTCTGCTTTTGTTTCCACAGAGGTTAAAAAGCTATGGATTCCTTACTGGCTAATATGGTTTGGTCAAACAATACTCCATGATGCAGTGGTCCAGATGGCTCAACATCCATGAGATCTTCAGGACTTCTGACTAAGATGAACCTGCCACATAGGATATCCTATGAAAGACCCAATTAACAGCACCCCCAATTAGTAGGAAGTAGTCTGGAGAATAACACTCAAATTCCCAAATATTATTTATAAATGTTTGTTTACATTTAAAGGGGGTTATACTGTAGAGATGAATACATTGGTATGGATCTTGGTTTACTGATACAAATTTAAGATCAATTTAGCTATACATATTTCTGTATATATGTATAACTATATGTATATAGTTATGTATGTATGTATATAACTTGATTAAGTTATTGTGCTTGAGCAGCTCATTTAAAAATGTAATATATAATTAAGAAAAGCAGGTTAATAGTCATTTATAATAGTCAAGCTTTTAATCATGTTTGTTAGATTTTCTTGGTGTACAGAGATATATTTCAGATGGACAGGTGTTCTCCAGTCCTTTCAAAGACTTACAAAATATGGCATTTTAAATATGTTAAAAACTTAGACTTTTCATGGCAATGAGTCAAATCTGCTCCTGGCAGCACCAATCTACTTCAAGAGGATGATGGGCATCAAAGACGTTTCTTATGGAGTTTGTTCACCATTTGGGCAAGAAACTGCTCTTGTCTGAACAGCTTGATGGTGTGTTATATGAACTGGACATGCAGGATCCACAGAAATATGACTGCTGAGTTTGCCTGAAGGTGAGATAGTTTTTCAGGGTTCCCACTTCATAAACAAACTGCCAGACATTTTTACAGAACATATAAGAAAGATACTGATAAATTTTGCCAGTACAAAGCATAAGAGATCTTCAAATTTCCTTTTTCACAGAAAAGTCTTCCAGATACTTTGGGCCTGTAGGTTGAAGATGGATGTTGCAACAATACAGAAGAACTTTGGGTGACTGTTCAAGCAGCAAGACGTCTCTGTCAATTCCAAAGTTTTGGAAGTTGCTTAAAATGCACTTCCTGTTTATTTAGGCAATACTATATCTTTCTGAGGTTTTTTGATGAAGTTGAAGATTAGATAGTTCTAATTATATATTTCTTTAGTTATGATAAATGATAAAGTAGATATAAATATTGTAACTGTAATTCTTTCTTGATACTTGTTTTGTTGTATGTGATCTTGCTGTGTTAAAATTAAAACCTTCCTTTCTAATTAGATAGAAAAGGGGAGGTGATGTGGGATTCTCCTCTGTATGCTGTGAATATGTATTGTTGTCATTGGTTAATAAAGAAGCTGCTGTCAGTCAGAGTCAAGGAGATGCCATGTAGCTGTCAAAGGAGAATGACACCCACCCCGGAACCTTGCTGGTAAACCATGAGCCTTTTGGTAAAATACAAACTAATGGAAATGT